GTATTTCATCTGCCGTAGAGGCAGGAGGAAGGGCCTATTATTATTATTATTATTATTATTATTATTATTATTATTATTATTATTATTATTTATTTATTTATTTATTTATTTTTGTTGTTATTTTTGGCACACTTGTTCCGCTGGTCATGAAATTGACAGGCTCATATGTGACTTCTTGAGTCAATCTCAGAAACTAAAAGACGCGATTTTATTTCCCTTTCTTAAGGTCGTCGGTGCTGTTTTATTTAACTGCAATGCATCTTAGTGGCTTATTTTACCTTTTTGCAGCTGCTTAAGTTTGTGAAAATGCATTTAAAGTCACATGTTCCTTTAATTTTTTCATAGTTCCTTAATCTAAGTCACATTTCCTCTGTTTCTGGGAGGCTTCCGAGAGAAGACTAAGACGAATGGTGTGCCAAAGTGGCGGCAAATTTGAACTTTTCAAAATCATGTTATGTACAAATCGAAAAATGTTTTCGCAGAGGTCCCCGTAACAAAGTGTATCTTTAATTATTTTTTTATTTTTTCGATTTTTAGGTTATGGGTACTTTAAAACACCCTTCATACTTAATGGGAATGCCCTGCCGTGAGTAATCAACTCATGCAAACATGTCAGCCAAAACTCTTACTTTAATTTTCGCTGTTCTGAATCGGTTTCTGCTAAGTTTAACAATGTAAATTGTTATGTTAGTTGTTATCCAGGCCATATGTAACTAACAATCTCTGTTTTTAACTTTTTTATAAGGTTACAATTTTGTAACTGAACCCGTGAAATGATGACAGATTCTGGTATATCTGAGAGATATCTTTAAAAGTTGAAAATCGAGTTGTGTTCTTTAAATATTCATTAATTTCTATTTTATAGCGGAGAACCATGGCTAAGAAAATTTGGATATCTATGAATCTAAGAAATTTTGGTCCTGACAAAATCGGTCCATGCGTACGTACGCCCTTCATGTTAGTGGATGTGAAATGTCTTACTTACTAGCTTAAAAGTCCAAGGCAGGTATACAATCCTGGAAATTTTGTTTAACTTGATAGTGGACATCAATGTTATGATCAATAGAGAGGAGAAGTCGTTACGCCACGTTACCATGATAGCAAAATTTTTTGGATGACAACAAACCGATAAAGTCACTTAAAGGCCCATGTTCACCTAAACGGCTTTGTGCGCTTTTGTTTTTCTTTTGAAACGATTCTTTTGTCAAATGCAGTGTTTTGATTGGCTTCCACTTTTGAGGAACGTTGCGTGACGATACAAAAAAGGACTGCGGGGAAGACTAGCTTTTTTTCACGCCTGATTGAAGCTTAAAGAGACAGTATCAAAGTGGCCAGTAAAACTTTAATTCTTTTCCAAATAGAGGAAGATATATCGCCGACTTCGTTAAATGTCACCGCAGAAAGCAGTTCAAAATTTACACTGGTAGTAAATACGCGTGGATGCTTTGTTGAGTCCGATGAACACAATGAAGGTCATAAAATTACGAAACGTCTAAGCACCAGGTGAGATTTTCCTGAAGCCTTTTGATTCCTCCATCTATTGTTTTGTGTTAATTCTTAGAAAGCTTAGGTATGTATTGTGGAAAGAATAAGCGAGAAGTTGTGTTTGCAAAGCGTCGAATCAGCACTGCGTACAGTCTTGTCGCTGTTATCGCTGTGTTACACTTTCTTTAGGTTTTGCTAAGGATTAGTTTTCTAATAATAGTTCTCGCTACTTTAGAGCTTTAATCGTGATACGCCAGACGATAAGTTTACTTACGTTAAGGATATCACTCGCTTCATAGGTTAAACAACAATCGCCGAAAGGCGATTTTTAACTGGGCTGCCAAGGGGTTATTTTTTCTGAGGGGAGCCGGGGGACGGCTATACACACTCAGGTTACTATCCTTGTCGCCGACCATTGCGTCAGACAGAATCTCATGTGAGACTGAAACATAATCTCATTCAGAACATTGTACCCGTTTGAAAAACTTTCGTAACCAAAAAAAATGAGTACCATTTTTAAGTGGGGGCTGTATAATAACTTTTAAATCCTGAATAAAAATAAACAAGTAAGTCATTAATTCTAAGCAGGAAACGATTTGCATTATTTTCACGCACCCCTCCTCGAATCCCTCTGTCTCCCAAATTATAGCGTGTCAGTATAACGTGACTAATTTGACGTTACCGGAAATTCCAAAAATAATTGTCGTTCTACGAGTATAAAAGGCGAAAGGGTCAGCTACTCGCCATTGGGCTAATTTACACTAGACAAAAATACTGTGTTGGATGAAACCGACAAGTTTACTTAAACAGACAGCCAACTGCCCATAGATCCCGATCCAGGGGCCTCACTGACTGCACTGAGACTTTAAATAGACGATCCTAATTTGCGGTCTACAGTCTACATGAAAACGCACTATTTTTTCCACAAGGTAAACAATATTCAGTTTTAAGATTTTTCTCTTGGTATTTATCTCTAACTTAAAGGAATAACATCAACAACAACAACAACAACTTTATTTCTTACATTAACATCCTTTGCATTTTGTGACCTAAAAAAGTTTAAACTAGATTTCTCGCTCGCATGTTGCTTTCATCAGCACGCACTTAAAACAATGTAAACAGATGAAAAGATCGATAACATATTTTACCTGATACCGATATGAGTTAAAAATTCGCCCCAGTTCGCGGTTTGTCTCTCGACACCCATGACTAACTTTTGTTCATGGCAGATAACTATGCCGCTTTATGACTCCTCCGAGGTTTTTGTGCCAGGTGAACAATATGGAAACACTGTTCACAGTCCTTGGATATTGAAAAGGCTGAACGTAAAGCACAATGTGCCCTTGTTTACCCCTGGTCACATCTCCAAGCGAACTCTCTCTTTTCAAGCGATTCATTTCAATGCACAATAATTGACCCTTATATTAATTAAACCCTATGGTTAATTCATATTAAAACTGTTTTTGCTCCTCACATTTAATGTGTTCGTTCGTATTCAAAACACCTTTAGGAAAATAAAGGTCGTGTAAATCATGTGTATTATGTTTGGAGATAAATGGATTATACTCTCTTTTAAGTTCCCATTTTGCGGAGACTTCAGTTTACATCTCTATAAATGGTACAAGAAACATCAAGAAACATCACGCAAGCTGAAAATTTACAAAGGCATGTTTTTTGAAAATTGCTAATGCTGACATCAATACATCTGATATATCGTGCTTGCTGAATGGGCGAAAACACAGAATTGTAATCACAAGATCATGCACATTTTAAAGATAAAAGCTTAGCAAGATACAGATACAAAGAAAAGCAAAACCCCTGAAACCTCGACCTGGTCTACACTTGTATGCTCTACTCAGTGACCAAACCTTGTCAGTAATAGCTCCTATTTTCCTCAATTCGTTCTTTGTGAAGCTCCCGGATGGGATGTCTCGGTGAAGCTTTGAACTTGTGTGCGAAATTCACAGAGTTCCTATTTTTGTCCGTGTCTTCTTTATCCTCAGTATCCGAAATCTACACCTCCAAAGTGGCGTGTGTTGCATTAATAGAAGGAAATATTTAAAGGAAAAGCCAGTCTTCTAACATGGCAAAGTTGTCACGTCCCTCGCTCATGACGAAGCGTAACATCGGGATTCATCTGACATTCATCGGCAACTTAGTTGTTCGCTGCACTGAGTAAGACAGCTTACAATCAAGTCTTCTGCCATAGTGTCGTCAACTTGTGAAATGCTTTGCTCATAAATTGTGCTTATTAATTTTTCATGTACTACATCGATCGATAATTCTCTCTGATCGATCTTGGAGTTCACGAAGCGGCCCCGGCGTTCCAAAACCCGACACTCACAGTCATCTTTTAGTGTGAACCTACCGTGAACGGCGTGTGGGTTTGTATGCAACGTGAGCATTTTTCTGAGTTTTCCAGCGCCAACATCATCAACTCACTTAAACTCAAACAATAAAAAAATTATAGAGTGACTCCTATGATCGAATCGCTTCGAGCAACGCAAATAGCCTTATTCAGGTTCGCAACGCTTTCTGAGTTTCTGGAGGGGGGGGGAGACGAGGTACAAAAAGTATTCGTTCAAGGGTCCGTGCAAGGGAAAATCGTATGGAACCACTTGTGAGAACATCGTTTCCCGGTACCAGACCCTCGTGTCTTCCCTCCCCCGGGGGACCGTTTTTCTGCACAGACGACCGACAATTATGACTGGGCAGCCCCGGAAAGGGGCAGCCCAGTAATTAAATAAAGCATTGTTCATGTTAGATTGACTCGCTTGTTTTGCTTTCAATTGATTTCAACGGGATTTTTTTTTTCTGGAGTACAGGGCGCGCAATGCATCTAGGGTGAAAATGGGCCTTTAAAAGTCTATTCGCTCTACTTCAAACTTCACCGATCTTATTCAATTTCGTTTAATTTGGCAAATCTTGGGTGAAGCTTTCCTTGGGACCGTATCTATCGTCATCTAAGTTTAAAAAAGAAAGCGACAATTTTAGTGTTGTGTTCACCTACTCAATAAAAAAAGGCTCGTGAAATTAGGAAGTTTCATGTCGTAATGGTGCAACGACGGCAAAGGAATGTGCAAAATAGCGTGATGCACGTGCAAAGTTGTTGTTTTTTAATATAAAAATGTTATTTTTGCCGCTTTCTTTGCCGTCGCCGTCGTCGTTGGTTTTGTTGTCATCCAGAAATAGTGCTACCATGGTAACGTGACGTCACACTTCCCCTCTCTTTTGACAGCTTTTAAAACAGGGTATCCACTGACCAGTGTCACATGACTGTATCGCGGACCCAGTTGTACAACTCATTGAGTTGACGTATGTTTTAAAGTTATCTGCTGACCAGTTATGGTATCCAAGTTATTGCAGGCTCAGAAAGCTTTTCTTCAGAAAACCATTTTTAAAAGTTCCTACGAGAGCCTAGCCTTTAGCCTTGGCTAAATCTATATATTAATTGTTCGTTTATTGAATTTTATAACTTTCAAGGTTCAAATGAAAGTGTGTCCAATCCACATACCCGGATAATAGGCGGACAAACAGCCTATAAAGGTGAATGGCCATGGCAAGCTGCACTTGTCCATACGTCGAACTCAGAAATCTTCTGTGGTGGAACCTTGATAAAGCGCCAGTGGGTTCTAACTGCAGCTCATTGCTTTGATGACGTTGAGCCTGCCGATACTCTAGTCTGGTGAGTGAAAACGGCGCGTCTTACTTTTCAGCTGCCCAGGTATTTTTATCACTAACTGCAATCTTTTCAATGTAGGGTTACACCAGAGAACAGCGGCGCTATCTGTCGCGTAGTTGGTTTGTTTACAGCCCCCTTGACTGACGTGATATGACGCGAACGACTTCGTAAATTAATGCTAAAGGCCATGCAGGAAAGAAACTTCTTCTCGTAAGGTCCGATCAGTGATCGCACTCTGCATACTAAAATTCAAGCAACCGTGTGAAGGACTTCGGGATTTAGATATGCAGGGTTCAGTATTAGAAAGAAAAAAAATATACATTCTTGACTTCATCCATTGAAAAGGGAAATCCAAAATATAGGCACCGCCAATCCATGGATCCATTAGGGAGCTTAAGCAACAACGACGGTGACGGCAACGAAAACGTCACTTAAAAAGTGAGTACCAGCTGCATCAGACTTATCGCGCTTATTACGTCTCGTTTAATTTGTCAAATGTTGGCAAATTTTTGTGGAGTTCAATTCCAAAGGACTGTATCGAGGTTAAGAAAAAGAAAACGAAACTCGTCCTCTTGTGTTCACGTCCTCTACAAAACATGAAGTTAGGCAATTTCACGTCGTATTCGTTCAACGACGGCAAAGAAATGTACAAAAAAGCGTGATGCACGTGCAAAGTTGTTTGCTTATTAAACCTGTTGCTTTTTTGCCATCCTCGTTGTCATCGCCGTCGTTACTGCTTAAGCTCCCTATTATTTCTTAGACGGACACATCAACGCAACGTCATTTCAACAAATTGTTGGTGTTGAAGAAATTTTTTTCCTGTAGCATGTCCCAACACCAGAATAAAATAATAATTTCAAAGAAATAGTACCACTCAATATTTCAGGTTGGGTGCATACAGAGCTGTAGGTGGTTTCAAGACCGAAGAAAACGGACAGGAATTCACTGTGAGATCACTTATCATTCATGACCAATACAACGAGGAAACTAATTCATACGACATTGCCCTGATCAGGCTGAATCGTTCAGCTAATATAATCACGTAAGTTTCTTTTTGTTTGTTTTCATTCCCATGTGAACATCCCTGAAAGGATACACGTTGCTCCCCACCCTCCCACAAAAAACGGATAACCTTTGTTTTTAATTTCTCCTGGCTATAAGGCTTAGGCCAAACGTTTAACTTTTCATGAGACGAACCCAACTTTAATTTGGGTCGACCTAAGATGGGTCAGATACTAACTTAGGACGCGTTGAACCAATCAACTGAGTCAGACCAAAAAGCAATTTTAGCCGAACGAGGCTGAATATGCATTACCATATAATTTTTTAATTTAATAGTTTAGATCGTCGCATGTGAAGATCGACGTTTGTGCCGGAGACGATCTTCGGCCGATCTCTCCCGTGTCTGAAGATGACGAATAGAACGTGTTCGGACGATCCAAACTCATTCAGACGAACTTAACTGAACCAGACGTCGTTCTTCTCACGAACTTAACTCACTATACTTAAGGGCCTGTTTACATGGAGGTGGGGGACCACAAGTAGGTGAGGTAACCCGCTTAGGTGGGGTAACCCGCCTGTCCATATAATCTCTCATTGTAATTTGGTTACCTCACCTACCCTACCGGACCTCCAAGTAAACAGGCCCTTAGTTTGGTTCGTCTCACAAAAAGTTCGACGTTTGGCCTAGGCCTTACAGTCGTCCCAAGAGGAATTCAAGACGATGCTCATGAAACATTTGATGGGGGAGGAAGCAAAGATTCCCTAAGACACATCGTTGATGAATTACCTCAAAATTATTAGCTTACTTTTGCAATTACTTTCAGTGGTGATCCAAAATTAAAAAACCTGCACCACTGACGAGCATAAGTGTTCTTTCAATTATGATGTACTTTCAAGAAAAAAGCATAAGTGTCGTGAACAGAGGAAATGATAAGTTAGCTCGACAAAACAGATTTGTGGAAGCTTCTCTTAAAGTTGAGGAATATTTCAAATTCCACTCAGAATCTGGGATGAGAGCAGTGGAACTGAGTGCACAAAATAAACAAGACAGCTGACATAACAAAATTCTGAAAAAACCCTGATACTTATAGGTATAGTAGCAACAGAGCAACCATTACCTTACTTGTCGATACTGGTGCGATTCATAATCTCGATGGTTCTTTGCTAAGGCGGATACCACCATATTACGTTTACTGAAATTTTTGCCGGTTGCAAGTAAACTTCGACTTACCTCTTGACCGAAATCAAAAATCCAACTCAAGCTGCTAGAGTAGGTTTAGGGTTAAATCATTACGTTTCCAAGAGATTGTTGTCGTTCTGATAGGCCACGTAGGTTCTTTAGTTTCGCATCACGAACTCGTCCATAGGCCCAATGCTGCCACGTTAAGAATAAAACAGTTGTTTTGTTGATTATGTATTATAAGTGTTCATTTTGCTGACCCATGTATAAGTTCGACTAGATCGACAAATTTTAGCCATTTTCGCACGGCTAGGGTCGTTTTCGTCCCCATATAGAAATACATGTATTTATTATTCCACTATTATGTCATTTTACCATATAAGGTCAAGAGAACAACCAAAATATGAGGCCGTAATACACTGTAGTGTCCTGGTTTAACCGGTTTACAACAGGGCGAATACCGGCGGATGCAAAAGGAGCAACCATGGCTGACAGAATCAGGATGTTTTGGATACTCTTATTAGAAAATAGAAGCCAAGATACCATTTTTCTTTTGCAGTAAAATAAATAACCTCTCATTCAATGGTTTGGCATATAACACGTGCGAACATTTTGCTAATTGTTAACGTCATTCTCACAGACAGAATCAGGATGTCTCTGAATTCTCTTACCAAAAAATAGAACCCAATTGCCAGATAATTTTTTTTGTAGTGGTATAATAAACCTCTTATTCGATGGTTTAGCTATAATACGAGCGGACATTTTGCTCATTGCTCGTATTTTTCCTCGCCCCTGCGGGGCTCGGAAAAATACTAAGCAACTCGCAAAATATCCACACGTATTATATGTTAAACCATCGAATAAGGTGTATATATACATTCCTCCCTGGACCCATTTAGCTTTCAGTTTAAAGTTATAAATTAGTAAGCAACAACGTCAGCAAAGATAAATCTTTCCAGCGAAACCTGGTTTTAGATACTCTGACCAATCCTCACAGAGTTACACTCACTAACACTTTGAGTTGCTGACATTTTGGGGGAAAATTCACTGCCAATTTCGCTGTTTACAAACTACTCTTTGAAAATCATATTTTTCCCTTTCCTAAAAGTTAGCCAGCTACAAATCCATGCAAACGAAAGACGATAAAGTGCGCAACAAAACCGCTAATAAAGAAGAATGGCAAAGGAAAAAAGAGAGCGAGACAGAAAGATTGATATAGATTGGCAAAAAAACTTTGGCTTTTGCGCATGCGTGAAAAACATACCTTTTTTCTTGCACAACTCATTTTAACCATTGTTATGCTAATGAGCCGAAAACTAGTCCAAACTAGTCCTAGGAATTGGTGAAAAATGCGGTCTTTTTGCTACTCGCCGGCGGTCAACAAAAGGGTGAAAGACACATTCCGTCAAAGCTGAACCATATCACGTACCATACGATTTTAAAATACCTTGAAACTTTAAAACATTCGCAGTCCATTTTAAGACTGATACCGAGCCAGTCGTCGTGTATTCAAAAAAAGCCATGAACTTACAGCAAGAGGTTTTCTGTAACACGAGGAACAGGCCCTTTTTCTCAATCTCTGATTTGGGTTTTATCGTTGTAGCGATTACAGACAGGACATGGTTAAAACCGTGAGGTTAGCAACGGCTAATGATGCCCCTTTGCTGATGAGGTTCAAACTGTGCGTTGTGACGGGATTTGGTGTAACGGATAATAAGGAAACCAGTCCTAACTACCTGCAAAAAGCACGCGTCCACATTGTCCCACTGGCAGAATGCAGATCACAGTATGGAGTTGGACGCGACGTGATAGATGATACAATGATATGTGCTGGGCGCTATAAAGGGAAATTCGACGCTTGCTCAGGCGACTCTGGGGGACCACTGGTCTGCAGGCATGACGATTTAAAGTATTATCTGCATGGCATTGTTAGCATGCGGTTGGAGGAAAGATGCGGAAAACCTAAAAAGTTCGGGATCTATACAAATGTTATCCCATTCTTGGATTGGATAAGAAATAATGCTGAATAAGAAATGGCACTGCCACTGTCATGAGTAATCGCTTCCTTGCATGGACTCACTATATAAGGAGTCCACACAGTAAATCATTGTATTCTTAAGTCACAGTAAAATAAATAAGATAGGTCTACTGGTCTGGTCCTTTAATTTTTTGAGTCAATTGCTTGTAACGCATAAAGACTCCAGTGTTGTCTAATGCAATCGAGCCGCTTTTCTTCGCTGAGGCTCAAATGGGCATGGCGAGAGTACTGACTGCAGGCGCAAAATTTGGTTGGTGACCGGTTTTCACGCCTCCACTCACTTCGCACAGCGGAAATCCAATAACACTCCATCTGACCCCTGCCGAGGAGAGAGTTATAAAGCTGCATAGATTGATAAACTAAAATGTTGTAGGAAGTGAACTGCCCTGCGCTAACTGAATACCTGCTTGGATGAGCTCCCACTGGTTAAGTAACAGTAAACCAATGTTTATTGGCCATTTCGGAATTGCGTAGGGAACTGGGCGAATTTTAAACTAAAAGTAATCGATGAACTGACACCACTATAAAGGGTGACAACGGAGTAAATAGTTTCCAGTGGCTTAGATGTTTTAAAGACAATTCCAATTTTGTCTGCATGCTAGTGGAAAAAGGCCTATGAAAAGATTATTAATGACGTGCACACTGTTATTCCTCACGTACCAGTTGTCATACGTCTAGGGGTATTTTCGTCTATTCTTGCTAAGCCTTCGGGGCAGGAGTTCGTTTATTTCGTCTTCGCAAAACGGGTAAGATCTTCTGCATTTTCTCCAATCTGTAATGCCAAAACATCTAAGCAAGATGGGTTCGCTTGCTTCGGGAAAAGCGCCTGCCAAAGGATGGTATAAGAATAGCAGTATAATCACATCTGTGTCGTTTACTTTTTGAGAATTCGCCCCATGTAAGAGAATCCGGATTGTGGAATCCGTGAAATTTTTGCATGTGGAATCCGGAATCCGAGAACATTTTGCTTGTGGAATCCGGAATCTTGGGCTTTGGAATCCAGAATACTGCTCAAGAAATCCGGGAATCCGAATAACAATTGAAATCCAGAACCCAAGTTCCACTGACAAAGACTGGGCCGACCTGCACCTATTCCAAACAAGGTTTGTGATTCGCTGGGAAAACAAAAGGGATGGTGACATAACAATGCCCCTATCCCTTGAATCAATAGGTAATGCAGGTTATATGGACCACTGAAATATGAGGTTTGGATGGGTGCAAGACAATCGCAAAGACTGAAATCCAGTAACGGGAATCCGGAATCCACTGTGTGGAATCCAGGATCCAAAACTGTCTTGGATTCCCTTCCATGGGGAGAGAGAATGCATACATGTGATGTGTATTTTCAAAAAGAGGACTAGTGGGCATGCACTATTGTTTTGAATTGTAAGATATGTCGAAGTTGCAGTCATATTTACATTTTTTGTCCCGATTGCTGTGGTTTTTCTGAATGTTCAAATCATGTTGATAGTGAATAGAACAGAAAATCAACAGACACGGCATACAGCTCTTGAAGCTGAATGAGATCATAGCAAGTCGCTTTATTTTGAACAATTATTGGATGATAAGTTTTTTTGATAGCCGGAATAACCAAGGTCGAGGTAAGTGTAGAAGATAATTCACTATTTCCAAAATTAGCTGTAGGTTCTTAGCCAATGAGAAGACAGATAATAAGTACACCCCGTTAATAGATTTTAATACGGTCACTCGTTCGAAATTTACAAAATTAAAATGCCTGTGGCATGTCAATTTTTTTGACCTAGCAATCTAAGCTTATTTTTTTTCGCTGTTTTTAGACTACAGTACACTTAAAATTCACTTGTTGTGATTTATAGCCGGATTTTAAAAGAGTTTCACGTACTGAAGAAAATTTTAAGTAGCTTTTTCAATTGCTGTACGCAATATCTACATTCCGGTTGTTTATTAATGAGAACAGTACGGTGAATGCGATGTACGGTGTATTTGTCATTACGGCCCTCAAGTCATAAAATTTGAGCTAGCCCCGGTAATACGGCTAAATTTTTTTGGCCCATTAATGACCGTATTAACGGGACTCCACTGTATTAGGCAAATGTAAGGGAGTACCCCACCGGCATTTTTTGTTTACAAAATGAACGCTATCAATTGTCCACTACAGAAAATGCCATAACATACAATAATACTCTTTGTTGGTCACTCCAAAATTTTGCATAAGCATTGTCCTCAGTTAACCTTGGGAGTTAAAATGGCCCCAAGAGAAACTGAAAACAATGCTTATGCAAAATTTTAGAGTGACCAACAAAGAGTATTATGGTATATTATAGCATTTTCTATAGTTGTCAATTATTAACTGGCAAATCCGGGGGGTATTTCTGGGAATTCGTGTTGGGTGTGTGTTTTCCGGATCCCCAAATCCTGACCCTAGACCTTATTTCAGATCAGTACCTACCGAGGCAAATGTGAGGGAGTACTCTCCCGGGGATTTTCGTTGTTATGGTGATAAACGCTATAAATTATTGCTGCCAATGTAACACCGACCCACGGGAGGTTTAATGTCCAGCCATTTTAGTGAAAACAAGGGTTTGTGGATATTGCTCAGCCCCGCAAGCTCACAAAACCTCCCTTTGGTCGATCTTATTTTGTTGGGCTTCGCAGCAGACTAATTCAGGTCGCGTACGCGACCAGCCTGGATTGCCTGTGCCCGAAGCCAGCCTTATTTGAGATTTTTGGATGAAAATATGTTTGTATGTATATCACCGCATTTGCCTCGATTTCAAGTATGGCCCTAGAAATCGAGGCTCTTTCGTTCCCCGTCAATCGATTCAGAAAAAAAAAAACAAAAGAACACTCAGAACACAAATAAAGTGTGATGTGGAAAAGTTAAAGCCCGGGAGAGATCCTGTTTCGTATAGAAAGCCACGTTTTTGCAAGCGAAAAGTATGAATGCCGAGTGAAAGTAAAAAATTCACGTGAATTGAAGCGATACGTTTCTTAGGGCCTGTTTACTTGGAGTGGGGGACCCCGGTCTAGTGGGGTTGGTTTCTTTTGTTTTCCCGCTCTGGGGGACACAAAACAAAAGAAACCTACCCCACTAGACCGGGGTCCCCCACTCCATGTAAACAGGGTCTTAGAATTTTTCAAGCAATTCCTGGAACTCTACAAAAAATAAAGTCAATGTTTTGGCTAAATTTGTATTCAGCCAGGCTTTGTTGTATTTATTTAATTGATAAAAATTGCTCTAGTTAATAGACAGATTTAGCCAGGTCTAAAAGCAAAGCTGCCATTAATAAATTTATAATTTAAATCAAACATATTAGGGCACATTCACGTGACTTTTGAGGAAAAGGTTAATAGTCTATAAGTGATTTTAAAGAAAAATAATTTGCAAACAGTCCAAGAGTGAAACAAATCTTACATCCAGTTAATAGTAGCCTTATATGTACACCCCAAAAATGGCAATCATCTACGATGGGTCAAGAGCCATAGTGGCTCTTGATCAAAGTAGATTAGGCCTGGAAAACAAATTCTTCCCCAAAAAAGTTCGCCTACCTACACCAACTTAATTTTATAAAGTTAGTTGGACATCTCCGAATTTTAATTTTATGCTATTAAGGCCGGTTATAAGACACGATAGTCCTCGATGGCAGCCAATTTACACGTTGTAATTAACAGGTTTCATTCCTTTGTCTAAAGGGAGGCTGAAATAAAAATTAAATCCGAATTTTTGGTGTTCGGCAAGTTTACTTTACAAAAGCTGGTGACGTGTAAGCCAGCCATTTATACTTTTTGCGGGCGACAAGAGGAGCCCGCAGCCTAATCTTGACTTGTTCAGCGGCACTTTAGTAACTGTATGAACTGTATAGCGAGATATTTCTCGATCTGTTCTTAAGATTCCGTTGTTCTTCCAACTAAGATGCCTGCTAAAGGAAGAGAGTGGCATTTTTACGAACCTCTGTACACCAGCTACTATTAAGTGCATTAGTTAGCTTCTCCCACTTTTGAAAATGAAAAAGAAGTTTATTTTTCTCCTTGGCGATATAGAGCTCGATATTGAGGACACGTCTTGCCCTAGCAATAAAACCTCTAATTGAAGGTACGCTATTGTGACATTTCCCGCAGTAGATATAATATTTACCTAATAACAAAATATGATTAATTAGAATATTGTGTACAATATCAAATTTTCCAAATATCACATCTGGCTCATTAATTGTCTCAACATGAACATCGTTATCTCTTAGCCAGGACAGGACATGTTTCCAAAAGTCAGATTCAGCTGCTTCTTGACAGAAAGTGCAGTTTGGCGATTCCACTACGCCAATTAAATTAAGTTTCACGTTTGTAAAGATTATACAATTTAAAATTTTGAAATGAAATTCCCCGATCCTTGTGTCTAAAGTACATTGAAAGGCGAAAGTGTAAACCTTTTCCCAATCAATATCTATATTTGAGTACTTGTTTGATAATTTCTGTTTTGCGGTGGGCGCAATTTGCTTTTGCTGCAGAGAGATTTGATAGATCTGTTTAGGAGAGATATCAAATATTAGCACTACATTACCGCTTGCCGTCTTAATAGTTGGGGTAATTGGTATTGGGTTGGCTGATGTTACGTTTGTAGATGCTTAATAAGTGAGCGCCATTCTGCAAATCGAATTGATAATACTCATAAAGAAAAATCTTTGTTCGGGGTTTGTAAGTGAGAGACGTCGCACGAGAAGGTGTTGTTCGCAGAAATTAAATCCCTTATCTTCACGAAACCTAAGTTTACTATATCTCTTCTGTACATCGATTTTTTTTGTTATAACAAAGAAATTTGTTGTTCCAGATGATTTCGTTAATGATTTCTTCGTCACTGCAACTTGTAGTTTTCCCATTGACCTCCGACCACGCGTCGAAGCATTCCTTATAATATGCTGGTAGGTTGATTTTCAATTTAGAATTTTGAAAGTTTCAGTGCAATACAAAAGGTCCTCCGATTGGTAACAGAAGTTTGTCTAGGATTGTTTTCCAAGG